TGCAAATAGCTATCAGATAAATAAAAAATAAGTATGTAATATTAATATAATAATAAGAATTAACTGTAACTAAGCAGAATAAATTAAAAAAAATTTTGATCGATAATAATAAAGATTATTAATTGCAAAATTTTTGGATTCTCTTAAAAATGAGAAAAAATTTCTTTTTTATGTCAAATTGTAGTATAAAGTACACATTTGGAGTATTTTAAGTCATCATATGTATATTAATTAATATCACTTTTCAGATGACGAGCGGTCGAAAAAGTCTGGTAATGGACGTCGCGTAATACGATTATCTGTGATCGATTAGAAATCGAAACGAGAGAGCGGAGTTGTTATCACCTCGCCGCGGGAAGAACTCGTTAACGCGCTAATCCTGCATTTTTTCGTTCCCGCTGGGAAAGAACGATTACGTCGTTTCTATGCGCTTTAAAGTTCAAAAGCATACAATGTGCGATCTGTATATTAGTATCATCGTAATTGGTTGGCTCTAAGAGCAAACAAATGCAGATATTCAACAATTTTATAAAAATAAAATTTTTAGTGTAAGATATATTTAAAAAAATATATATATATTCTCTATTTAAAAATTTTTTAAACATTTCGATTTTCAATTAGCAAGAATTAGCAAAAATTAGATATTAGATCAAATATTAAACTCAATTTTTGAAATAAATCTCTTTGCCGCACATTAAATCTCAAGTTATAATTTTATTAAAATCAATATCTTAAGAAATTAAATAAAAATAAAGCTTTTTTCTGTTTATTTGTACCACTAAAGCTCTTTATTCGAAAATCATTAAACCTTTTATTACCAATAACTCCAAAGCTACTAGTGCTTTGCCAGAAGCATTAAATTAGGTTTATGATCGACACGATGTCGTAACTTACGTTTATGGACGTAAAGTGAAACTATATCGAGCGATAGGTTGCAAGGTTCTGGAGAATTTCCAAATTTTATTACAATAGTCGCATATATAATGTTTAAGACATGCAAGGAAAGTTTAATAATTCCAATATATGGCTGTATTATGTATAGTATGTGGCAAAGCCCCGAGATAAGAATATAGCATCAAAAAGTTTGCATTTCTGGAAAATTGCATCGATAATTCATATCTATTATTTTTATTGTTCCTTTTATTGTTTGTTTAAATGCTCTGTTTAGAGTAAATATATAGTACATTCTTCAATTGCGTTTTCCGAATTCTTTTAAAATATAAAAAGTTTGTTTTAAATAACACAAGCAATAAATTTGACCTATTGGTTCCCATTTCCAAATGTTACATAACTTTATACATACATTTCATTTAATTAAACTTGTTTTCCATTTTAGAAATTTGACGTAAGCAAATAAAATTGAATTTTAAATGTGTTTTAGTTCAAATTTAATTACTACTACAAAATTTCTGCAAAAGTACATAGCTATTTTGCAATTTATATGAAAGCAAATATATTGTACATGTACTGTTCATATCTATTATTTTTATTGTTCCTTTCTGTTTGGTGTTTATTAAGAGAAAGCAACATTCAACGTAGTTAGAATAACTCTCTTTGTGGTAGAACGCAAACTCGAATGCGAAACTAATAAAGCTTCCGCAACACGCAATTATTTAGCCGGAATAATGAGATAAGAGTGAAAAAGGTTTTCGATGCGTGATATTAACAGGTTCTGTACTTTTTTTGCGCTTCCTCTCTTTAGCCGGCTATTGTTGAAGCAACTGAATCGAGCAGTCCGGTTGTTCCAATAAAAATACGCGACGCAAAAAGATCCGATCGCGCAGTCACGCTGGGACAAATCGCTATGTTTAGTTTTCGACTCTTCGAGGCACCGTTTCTCTCGCGTTTTGCTCGCTATCCAATATTTGCTCGGCATTGCAAGTCGTTTGGTATCGTCGAGAGCTTGGTCACCTTCGACGACCATTTTCGACATCGCGAGAAACTTTCAAATAACACTCTATGTTAAAGTACATCCTACGATCAAACAGAGCTCCCGGAAGAACGATGGCTTTTCGAAAATAAACTGCAATGCCAAGTTGCGTTTTAGCAAAAACAGAAAAATATTGAAATTCAGTTAAATTCACTTCAGTCAAATTTACTTTATAGATGGTGGGCTTAATAAATTGCCGTGCGAAACTTTAATAAGTAGGAATAAAAATAATATATATGCAATTTCACTCTTACAATTATTAAATTATTTTTTAAATTATAATATTCAAATAATTTTGCAAACGTGAAGCTCTTTAAATAAAATTTTTTTACAGTTTTCCTCTTTACGATTACAGAAAAAAGGATTATGATAAAGTAGTTGGATTTTAATATTTTTCCAAATTGCATTAAGTACTTACTCTCGGATTCTTTTGTTCCTCGGAATGAGGAGAACTGATAGGACTGATATCATTGTTCCGCTTAACGACGCAATTATCCGAATATAAATAGCGTACTGACGATCAAAAGATGAAAAAGCTGAGTTGGACATTGCAATAATGCAAAAACGCTATGACTTTTTATAATGAAATTTTGTAATGACATTGCAGAAACGCTGAAGCGTCCCTTTCTCTCTAACCCCTCCTCTCTAACATCCTGCTCCCTCTCTCTCTCTCTTTCTCCATAATACAATTTTGCGATGAAAATGCTATCGCATGGAATACGATATCTTTACGTAATATCGCATATTGTGATAATTACGCTCATCGTTGGATCGTTCAATAATTGATTAAAATAAATTTTCAACCTGCGTCTGTTGAGCACACTGAAGCGCGCGTAATTATCATCACAATTAGCAATTGTACGTTACTTCAGCCCGGTCTCCCTTCTATAATGAATGATTTTCCATTGGGATTTGACTGAAAGCTCGTAAGGGATTTCGAGTGAAATGTGATGCGCGCACATGTGCGTGAATATCAGCCATTGTGTCGCAACATCGCTATTGTTAGTTGTTAAGTGATTAATAATGCGATTCTTCATTGATCTCGTGCTCGACGACCAATTTCGGTAAAACTCGACAGTTTTATTTCCACCATGTTCCAATAATACATTAATTGCAAGAAAATAAAACTTGTAGAGTAGATTTTAGTAAAGGATTAAACAATATTCATTTAATTTGTATAATAACAAGCACACATCTCGAATGGTTAATCCGTTTAATTTAGTAAATATATGGATTTATTTTAAAATATTAACAGTCTCTCACGTATCAGAAAATTAGCTGTCATGGGAAATCATTGATTGCGTTTATAATGGCTCGAAGCTTGCAACACGAGAACTTTACAAGGCCAATTTAAAAAGCAAATGTAACTAAGAATTATCAAATAACAGTCAAATTAATATTATCAAATCCTTTATTCGTATAAATTTTATTATAAGATTAAAAAAATTATCAAATAACAGTCAAATTAATATTATCAAATCCTTTATTCGTATAAATTTTATTATAAGATTAAAAAGAAAAAAAAAACAGGGCGAAAAAACAAGCGAAAACCTGTTTTTAAATAGCGACGTGTTTTATTTGCAGCCTTTAGGCAAAAATCATCAGCGAGAAATATAAAAAAAAAAAGCCAAATATTGTTTTCATGTTTATTATCGCTCAATATACACACGAGCTATTTTAGTGACGGCGTGTTTTTTTATCGAATTGCAGAACCGGAATTTCGAATTACAAGCGCGAGCGAATCGGCGTACGTTCGTCTTTGTTCGTGCTTTGCCCGTCTCTAAAAGCCAGGGAATATCGACTACGTAGAGGGCGAGATTAATCGCCGGGTCTGTTATCTCGTACGCTCGGTTACGCTTCGTCACTGAAACGCACGTCGGTTTCAAAAATCCGGTGCTTCATTCTGCGGACACGTAGGTCAAAGTAACAAAAACATTATCCCTCGAAAATAAACTCAGTTTGGGGTGGGAAACATTATGGAAGAATAAAAATCCACGACATGATAATAAAATGTGGAAAGGATATTTGAATTGCTTTTATAAAAAATATCCTTCTCATTCGTGCGGTATATTGTACGGAGAATTGTACGCAATTATTCACGCTTACGAGGAAAATTTCTTCCGCATAACTCAGAACTCTAGAATTTTCTTCCATTTCGTTTCGTTAATCATCCGTTCGCGTAATTCTATTTGCGTTGATTATGCAAAAGACAAGTAAGATCATTTGACGTAGCTCGCTTTGTCGTTATCGCGACAATTAACGGCCATAATTAGCTTAGAATTAATTAGAACAAACACAAACGCGATAAGCGCACATGCACTCGAGTGGTCTGTTCCTAATTGCGGGCATTGACTTCCAGATTCGATATTGTTTCTAATGATATCATGTTGAACCTTAGAATGTCCGCAATATCTCTCGCAATTATATCTCTCATATTATATTCGTCAATATCGTTATGTGCTAAATTTCGATTTGAGAATTTAGAAAAAATTTTATTTCTTAAATGATGTCGCACACATCAATGTTAAATTAATGATAAAATAATGTTAATGATAAAAAAATGCTATAAATAAACATTCTGAACTGTAATATATTAATTTTTTTGTCTCATTGCTTTTATGCAAAATAAACCAAATTGTATATTAAATTTATATGCAAATAATTCATTTCACTTGTTGCATTTTCTAAGATATGTGTTTCAAAAATTGTATACATTAAATATATTTTTGTACGCTTTTTGAATTCCGCCGAGCATTGCAAGAGAATATTACGTAATTTAGAAAGCTTATATAAAACTATATATTGTTCTCATATTTGAGAACGTTTCGAATCCCTATAGGACGAACATAGTAGAAGTAGTAATAGAAGTAAAAAAAAAAACATTTTCCTCGCAGTCCGGTAATTCCATTTTTCTGCTCTGTGTGCAGAAAAAGAAAATAAATAACGTGCACGAATCGTATTTTTCGTGCTAGACGGATTTCAACAATCGTGCTTTTTGCAACCTTTTCTGTTCGTACCGTATTTTACGTAATAGTGGGTGCATTTAAATGCAACAAAGGCGCAATCCTACCTTATGTTATCTTCGTCGACGAATATTATGACCCCTCTAGCGTTGTGCTTCGAGCTCAGACGTTCGATTATTCTGTCGAAGTCCTCGGTCTTGGCGTTCCTCAGAATCTTCTCGCTAACTGCGACGCAGATGTTGTATTCCGCCGAAAGGGCAACGAAGCTAGCGATGCCCTGAAAATAGAATCCCAGCCACAAATAAATTGCCTGTAACATACAACAAGGACTCGAGTTCTGGTGATAACGGGCGAATCTTGTCTTCTTGGTAAACAATTGGAATGTAGGGAAGAATACAAAGCTTCCGAGCGCATCTACCGACTCATATTTACATACTCATTTATCGTTGGCGATAAATCCGGGGAAATTTGCATGAGAAATCGTGGCCATTAAGTAGCAGGCTGTTATTCGGGGTGCTCAAAGAAAATGTACGACAGCAGCAAGTCCGCGCTTTCCCAGCAAGTTGAAATGGAGTCTTCCATATTTTGACAACAAAAGCTTCTTCTACAATATATGTTTAGAAATATCTCTCATATTTTATGCTTAATGACTCGAATCTCTAATTAAATTTCAGATAATCAAATAATTAAATCTAGAATCAAATCTGAGACAATATTGATTTTCAAGATTACAAGTATCTCCAATAAATTTCATAGAATTTGACATTGAGTCGCAGATAATTTTGAAATAAATAAAAAATAATTAAATTCGATATTATCGTACGAGATGTAAAGCCAAAATAAAGTTCAAAGATGATATTAGGAACATGCAAGATTTATAAATATCTATTCATACAATCGTCCGAAATGACCTTCGACTCAACGTACGCCAGGATAAACTGCCTGTCTCGCGCGCTTTCGCCCTAAACCGTATACACGGTCTACATGGTAAATAGATACATCGATACGACTCGTCTATCTTCGCGATAGCACCCGGTTCGTGATATATTTCTACGTATATGTGGGAAACCGGATGGAAAGAAAAGACGACCAAAGAAAGACGCAGAATGCACCGAGTTGCCACCGCAGGTGTTATCGGCATGTTGCACAGCGCAATAAAAATCAGCGTGATCTATCACGGTGCATGCCATGATGAAAATGTGTACCTTCGTAGATTCTAATATATTGTAATAATTATATGCCGCAGCGACTCGCGCGTGATTTCCGCGATTTTATGTCATCCGAATTAAAATGTTTACCGATAATAAACTCTGAGTTCTATCTACAAGTGCGATTGATTATAATCTGAATTATCGTTACTTTGTTTATTATCGGGATCATTGCAATATAAATTCTTCTATATAAAATTTCCAGAAATGTTACACTTCGTCTTCATGATAATTTTTTTTCCTTCTTTCGATATATCACTTTTTTCATAAATCAATACAAATATAATTATGTGCTTCTGCATTATATTGAATTTTTTAAAATAAAAATATTTAGAAAAACAGTTTTTCATTATAGATTTTGATCAAACCCTTAATTTTTGTTTAAAAATCTCAGATTTATATTTTAACAGTTTAGTTTTAAAGCAATATTTATTTTCTCAATACATTTATATGGTTCATTGAATTTTTCGACTAGCACTGTTCGACGTAATTACAACAAATAAGGCCAAGAAAGCTTTTATTTCTTTGACAACACCCGGAACTAATTTTCTGTAGGATTAGGATTCTTCTTTATTGTCTATTGTCAGAGCGACTCTAGGTAAGAAAGCGGAAATTGGTAAGACTGCCCAACACCAGTGTGGAATAAAAGCTCACAATTCTATTAAAGGGCACTTCAAATTACACAATGAATATTGTTCCGCTCTTCATTAACGCATCTCATGCTGAGTTCATAAAAACTTCTTAAATGTTAAATGGTTTAAAGCTTAAAAACTAGTAACGTTTTAAAATTTCTTTTTGAAAAATAAAACAAATTTCAAGTTTTGTCGCAGAGTATAACTCTAGAGATAAAATGTTTACCTCAGTGCGTGAAGTCCGAAAATAAAAACTAACTACAAAGCAAACAGATGCAATCAACTTTTTTATGAACTGGAAACAGTTAACTTTGAAGTTGGAAAAGTTAAATTTCACTTTTGCACTCAGCCCTTAATTTGTACTGACAATGAGAATGTAAATGCGCAGGAGGGAATAAAAGTTTCGAAAATAGGATTGCAAAGAAGCAAAGAAAATTAAACAAAAAAAAATTGCGAAAAGAAAATTAAAATATCGATAGTTAGACGCAATCTGAGGCTTTGTGGGTTCGATTGGTGTGCTATAAAAAAACGGACAGTGACAAAAAGAGAAAGAAACGGACAAACGACATAGTTATCTGGGAAATAATGAGTATTGTTACGACAAAAAGATGTTGCCTTATCGAGCGATTTACTTAACGAAGCTCACTTCCTTCAACAATTGGTCGTGCTTGACCTCATTCTATTTCATTTCTGCATCATTCCGATCTTTTTGTAGACCTCTCCATCTATTACAGGACTCATTATGCGTATTTGCGTCTGGGGACAATTTTCAAATCTTAATAGTCTAAAACTCTTTTCAATAAAATTCAATGGTAGTTTTTTTTAAGTATACGGTTTCGGCTTTAATGTCTTGTTAACGGCAGAACGAATTTAAATAGTTGAAAATAAAAAAATGCAATTGTCATGAGAAAATTCTTTGCACAGTTTCTTTGGGCTTTGGGTTTGTTCACAATGCGTTTTTCGTTCCACAATTCGCGATAAATAATCTGGACACATTATCCTGTGTCATTATAAGAATATTAACAAAGCCACATTCGTATAATCGCTTTAAGCGAGTTTATGCCCGTTGAAATATGCATCGCATTTGCAACAGCCACAATTATACTGCGCGCCCAGCATTTAGCGAAGGAAGTGCCTCATAAATTTCGTTAAAAACCAAAGGAAGCGCAGGCGTTCCATTATCCTCTTGTGCACTATCCTGGTAAGATCAGACTTTGTAAAGGTGCATTTTTTAAATCTATCTCCGAGAACACCGACTACATCTTTCGTTATTATTCATTTCGAGTGTTTGTTATTTATTTTACCATAAAATGAATTTGCTTCGTGTATTTTTATAACTGATACAATTATAGATCTCAAGATTAAAATATTTTTCTTTGTGAAAAATTTGTTTCATTTCATAGCTATTTGATAACTTTATAATCTGAACGAATTTGTTTAAATAGCATTTCTTCTTAATATTTTAATAAAAACTGCCGTTTTTAATGCACTTAAAAACGAGATTGACAGTAAGCTAATTCATGTGAGATAATCATAAAATCATTGTGATACCTGCTGGGGATTAATTAGACTGATCACTGGCACTGGTTTAATTACTTGGAACGCGATTACTGCCAGTCCTTTCGAGAGAACGCGTACAGCCAGTATAATTCACGACGTCGGCAAATTTGCACGTTCCAAGACGTAGAACACACTATTGTCATGGACATAATTGTCGGAAGGCAGCCATTCCGTTAGTATTCGGCTATAAAATCGTGCTTCGATGTTCGCGGTGAATATGAAAAATTCTTGCGCGGCATTCCTCAAACGTATAAGAAAAATTATGGGTATTACCAGTCGAGTTATTGCACCCGTTGAATTATTATACCTACTCGTCTTTTCTGTAATTACACGTAATAATACAGAACGATATTGGACTTTTCATATTGAAAGTGTTGTATTCAGACTTGTAATTAATGGATAGACGACTAACAAATGGATTAAAATAAATGGGAAAATTTAACGATAATGAAATAACAATCGCTCAATAATGAATATTCTTGGTGATGCTAAATATCAAGTCGATCGTTACTGCGCTAGTTGTGATATTAAAAAATCCGAGCTTTTAGAAAAAAAAAATGATAAGATTTTTATTGCGTTAAATATTTTATGCGGTTGCATATACTTTGTAATTTCTTCCGTATGCAAAAGTTCGCGATTAAAAAGCGAAAAATTCTAGAAGCGTGGAATCAGAAAGGTTTGTTTTCCACAATTTTTGTAAGATTGGACTGCTCTGGTAATCTCTTCGCGCGGAATTCCCCGTCGCATACTAATCGCCTAATTTAAACAGCGGATGGCGCCTTAACATCGAGTTTTCTTGCTTGATTGCGCAATTAGTTTCATCTTCGCTTGTTAACGCGGTCGCACACAACGATTTCATATCGTAATTACTATCGTTATAATAACTATTATTTAACATTAGCATTAACATGATCATGCAATACGATCTAACGAGATGACGCAAGCAAGTATTAATACCGCCATATTGTACTGTATTAATACATATATTACGTAGATATTTTATTTTTACTAATTTCTCGACTCAATTACAATTTTAAATATTAACAGTGTAAAAAAAGTTGAACAGATCACATGTTAATATAATATAAAAATAGTTTTGTAATAATTAAAAATTCTGAACTCTGGCGCTTTAATTTATAATTATATAATATAGTAAGCGTATACCGTCATTAAAAAGACAGAAACGCATTTTTATTTTACATACCGTGCAAATTAGATTTATTCATCACTATTAATTTGATCTCTCATATATTACGAGCAATAATTATAAAAGAATTTAATACGTTCCAATATAAAACAATTTTAAATCAGATATCTGTTTTGCTGCAAAAGTCGATATTTGTAAACTAATTAAGATTTTATGTTATTTATAATTATATTATATAACAAAATATATCCCTTTCGTTAAACATTTTTATAAAATATTATTATTATAGTATTTAAAAAAAAATATTTTTATAACAATTTCAAAGAAAAAAACCGTGTTGTAAAAACATTTTTACAAAAAAAAAAATATCATTCTATTATTATCAAACATAGAAGCATGTAATTCATTAAATACAACCGAGTAATAATTATTTTCAAATTTAATGTATAACGTGTTGACTTTTTCAATTTTACAAGTGTAGCACTCACTTTTTCGCCATATTCGCCTTCCACAGCAACCGTAGAAACATATTTCCATCCCAGTAGATGGATCACCTCAACGATCGCTTGCGCTTGAAAATTGTCTGGCGGTACCACCCGGCTGAAATACTCGAACCGGCTCTTGTCCGAGAGCTCTGTACTGGTGGATGCGTAACTCACTTGCGGTATCTGCAATCAGGATAGCCATGCAGTTAGAGAAGCTGGAAATTATCGCTGTTTTTATTCGAAAAATAAATTTCTTTTATTTAAAAAAAAAATTTTTTTCATTTGAAAAATAAATAACCCCAAAAACGCTGGAAACACATATACCGAAAGAAAGAGAGTTTCACGTAATATTAACACATAAATTTTTCATGAAATAACATCTATCGCGATGCGTACAAAAATGTCGTTTACGAAAGAAAGAAGATACAAAATGTAATTGATATGATATGGGATGAAACTACCGCTCCGTCCGTTCGACAACTACATACTTACTGACTCCCGGAGCAGTGATAGTAGAAATAAGACGCGGAAGCACATCGAGAACCGCGTCTTATTTGTACCATCACTGTTCCGGAGTTACTTATCTTTCTTATATTACTTCGTACTTCCACCACTCGCGGGGATTGGAATTTTTCAGTCACAGAATCAAAACATGACGTCGTACACATTCCAGCTTAGTTATAATTCTTCAAACTTTATTATTGGTCAAAATTACAATGCCAAGTACAATACGCGAACAAGAAGAGAAAGAGAGAGAGGAAAGGAAAAACAAAACAACAATTTATCTATGAACAATTTTCTCCATAAAAAATCTACTTTGCCAATGTAGTAAATATAAATAAAAGTATAACGACAAATCATTATAATATAAAGATGTATAGTAATAATAAATAAATGACAAAATAATGAAGGGGATATCGAGTTGACGCCAGATATAAATAAATCAAAAATCTTCTTTATCGTGTCTTCCTAAACAATTGATATTGCAAACAAGACAAATCATTACAGTTTTTCCAAAATTATTTTCACTGTAGAAGAGAGGGCCAAAGTAAAAGTGACATATAGGTCTAAAGTGACATATTCCCATTTTTCAAAAATTAAAAATTGCACTTTCAAAACTAATACATATAAACCCGATGATTTATTTAGTTAGTGAACTCATTAAAAACCCACAGTTTTCGTATACTCTTTGCTTGTTTATACGTTAAAGCTTCGAGTTCTTGAAGTTTGAAAGTTTTGTTTTTATAATTTTTTTTGAGTAACTTGCATAGTTTAAATAGTGATAAATATCTTTTTTGGTAATATCAGGTTATTTTATACACATGCTTTCTAAAAGTGTTCTATTTTTATTTTTATCTTTATTGCATCTCTCACGATAATTTAAAAAAGATTTAATTAGAGTATGACGCACACGCACGCACACACACACAAGCTGACATGCTCTTGTATATATATAATCCGCGTTCGATAACTTTAATATAATGCCTTATATTACCAAAAAAAAATTTTTAGCGTTATAAATAGAAAATTAAAAGAAAAGAATAACAAACGGTTTTATAATAATAAAAATATTACCGGAGTAAAAAAGACAATAAAAACCAAACGCGTGGGTGTCAGCGTGCGTACAAAGGACAATTTATTGTCAATAAAAATACAAGATATAAAAAGAAGAAGAAACGTTTCGCACAAAGATGCACAAGTTTGTGCATCCTTTATTTTGCAAGAGTTTAGATCGTTCGTGTGTACTCGTGCGCACTTCAGACTACTAACATTCGGACGAATACGTGCGCTTAGCCTTAGCCTTACACCCACACGAATACCAAAACGATCAGCTTCACGGATCAGCGACACGGGGTCACCCTTTAGAAATTCGTGGTTTACAAGCAAATAAGCTGAGGCAAACCTCACTAATAAACAACCTCGAATCCTCTCGGCAGGCAGGACGTGGTTTCTGGGCAACGGACCCTTGGCACTTTCACTCTAAGCACGGAAAGACACGCGGCACGTGCTACCACGAAAGCAGCCTAGATCATAATCGATCGCGCGATACCGTAATGCGTAATCGCGCACGCAATGCACGACGGGAAGCCAATTAGCGATCCTAGTCGTCGCACAATAGTGTGCTTATTATGAGCGCCGTATGTAGCTATTATCAGGGACCTTAGGAGCCCTTTCAAGCCCTTCTTCTCGATGGCAATCCCTCAGACCGACGGAAGTTGTCGAGATTCGGCAACGATCCTGCGTTGCCTGCGGTGAAAGCAGACGAAATCATCTCGTCGACTTCCGCCCCCGCTTTATCAACACCTCAGTACAGCTTTGGTTCTTGGGCAGGATCTATTCGGCGACTCGGACGTTTCGACATCTTCTCGTCTAGATTCGGATCATTGAGCTCTATACATAATGGAGTGAGTCTTGGAGGAGTGAGAATAGCCTCACTGTGCAAAAGAGAGTTCCCATCGATGTTCTCGAAAGCTCGATATCCTTTTCGCTATCGTTTTTCCGCATATTAATGATTGAATTACAGCCGTCCTTCGTCTCGATCTGCCGTGGCCTTTGTATTCCTCAGCGATTTCCCACGTCGAATCTCAGCGTCACGATGCAACAGCATCACGACAAAGTATTACGAAGGGCAAAAGGAAGGTGTTATTGCGCCCCGCCCGTTCGGCCGAAAGTCAGAGGGATGGCAACGTCACAGTGAATATAAATGAAATATTAAAACGAGAGATTAAAATGGTTTACGCGTGATCACTGTACGGTTTACATGTCCATAAAACTAAAAAAGATCCAGAACCGAAACGTTTCTTGTTCTTTCTTTTTGTTAAAAATTGTATTTTTATTGTAAATTGTTGTTTTTTTGCCCAACATTCGCGCGTTTGATTGTTACCGCTCTATTTTTGCGCTGGTAATAAAAGAAAAGAATTTTTGATTTAAAAAAGCATAATGTTTAATTTCAGTAAATATATTATTGCTAAAAAAATTTCTACCTTTATAAAATAAAATAAATAAATAAATATGTAATTTTATTTTAAATTTTAAATAAATTCGTACTTAACAATATATTGTAGTAGATTTTCATATTTCCGTCATAGTCTGTAATTTTTAATGGATATGAGAAGCAATCTAAAGTAACGCGTACATTTTTCCCATGATTTTTGCTTGCGGTTTTTATGCGTTAATTTTAGATTACACCACATATGGTAACCAAATTTCTCCAAACTAAATTTTTTGTGTCAGCACAAAAAAGATATCACAGTGGCGCACGGTGTGTTTACGCGTGATAATAATTGCCGGTTACAACTCTACCAGACTGAAAAGGATCCAAAAATTGGACTGAAATATTTCTGCAGCATTATTCTGTATTGATTTGCAATATCGTTTGCTCCCCGACATCCGCATTTTGATTCTTATAGCTGTTTTTTGTTGGTTTATTTACTATCATAGAACCTCACGTCAGACAAATAAATTTTTCCGCGTCTTAAAAAAAAATTATCTGCTTGAAAACTATATAAAAACAATATTACGAAAATCATAACAGCTGGAATAATCCTTAGCTTATATCTGTGTGAATATAATTTTTGTATTTTAAACTTTCAGTATTAAGAGATAAATTTCGTAAACGATATGATGCGACATTGGCGCGTTTCTTCTATATTACAACAGTCATTTTAAGCGTAAATCATATAAAACACTGTGAAGAGATACGCGCGCGTATAAAGGTTAAGATCCTGCGTCATTTGACGCGCGACCCTGTTTCTCGTCACGAATACGAAGAGAGCTTCGTAACTTTACAGCATCTGTGCAGGCAGCATCGCGAATCTAATAATCTCGTATCTGCTGAAAGCGACTGAGTCTCTATCTCTCTCTATCTTTCTGGCTCCTTTAGCTGCAAGGGGTAATTTCATTTTTGCACAAAGAGCGTGCGCTCCGCCGAGATAGTTTCCCGTTGATAGCATTGTTCCTTAACGGATGTTATTGGCATTATCACGCGTCCTCATCGTTCGCACGTATAGCGCTGACATATGCGCGAAGACCGACAATAGCACATAAAAGCCGCACCCGCATTATCGCTTCCCGTATTAATTTGCATCCATTTGTTTCGATGGTTGCCGTTGTGTGACTATTGACGTGACGTAAATTATAAATTATACGAGTGATCGATCGACACTTTATTATAGATCATATAATTGACACGTAAATTGTAGAAATAATAAAAAGAAAAAAATATATATGTATATATATCTGGGTTGCATAAAGATTAGTGTAAAAAGCTTTTGTCTGTTACAAATCTATTGAACTGGAATGGAAATCTGTTAACAATTAAAGTGAAAATGCATTTTATTTTGTTATTGGTATTAACTTATATTGCACATACCGGAAGGCAGATTTATTGTCAATTTGTTAAAAAAATGCAATAATTTTGTAATAACGTTATTTTCGCCACCAATTGTACTGTGTAATATAATTTATATAGTTGCAATTAATTAATAATCGTGTATTCTGAGAAAAAAAAGAAAGAAATGAGAATTCATAAAAGCGTATTGCTTTTTTCTTCATGGTTTAAATTTATGCGACAATAAGTGCATTAAAATCATATTCCACACATATGCATACTGGTTTTATTAATCATTTAAAAAAAAAAATTTAATGCAATATAACAAGGTAATATGCTTTCAGCGATATTTCTATAGGAGATTTATTGCGCGATATCCTTTTCCGTACTTGAGTATTTAGTAATCCAATATTTTAGTAGGTAAATAAGCCTGAAATTGAGATTCTCTCTGTTAAAACAACTAGTCTCGTGAACTGGAAATTAATGGTGGAATAAAGCTTTCCTTCAGTTCTTTTGCGCCTTTAAAGCTAAAATCTTAACAAATTTTTTTTGTCCTTATATCTCGACATACATCTTGATTAAAAAAGCATTTTAATTTTTTACATGAAATATCAAGTGTAACTATTATGCAGAATAATTTGCTCTTAAAGCCTAAATCACGCTTGAACATCATTATGCTACTGGCTTTCTGGCTTTCTAGCTATATATGAAATAGTTAAATGGAATTAATTAGTTAATTAACGCCTCGAGGAAGAGAGAAAGAGAAGCTGGATTGTCACACCTTAACACAGTAATGCTAATTAAACTAGCATTCTCTTAGCACTTTTAGCGCTAAATAACTGTTCAGTTTTCAAGTTCCTTTTTTTAATTCAATACCTATGCACTCATCGAGATGAGACTCTAATGACTACACTTGCAACTGCAAATGCTCCGCGGCACGAGAAATGTCATCGAATAAGCTGTCGCGGAAAGATAATTACTAATTAGGACATCTTAATTGGGAAGCCGAAATCAATAGAAACGATCTGACATTACAAGGGATATCTAATTACCAATCGGTAGCAGTTAGATCCGTACTCGATACACTCACTGTCTTGCTTCGTAAACCAGTACGTCATTTGCACGGGGCCGTAATTCCCATAATGAAGATGGATTTCTGTAAATGCGACTGTAACCGCGCATCGATCCGAGCGTCACTTATGAGTATATATTTTCTACAACACTTACGTCGCTCCTAATTCGACGACAAGACTATACTATTTGTTTAGTCTTTAAAAAAATGTATGTGTTTTCCAACGTGTCCTTTAATAAAAATGTGATCAATTATGTGTCGCACTCGAATTCAAATTCTAAATCGACAATTACACACGCGTGATTCATAATTGTACATGAATTATTCATTAATTCCCTCGGGGGCAGTTTAATTGATTTTGGACTCAATTAACGTTTCGTCTCTTCACGCTGCGGTCACATCTGTGTCACAACCAAAACTCAGAACAGAAATATCTGCATATTAACTGACCTAATGAAAATTAATTCAGTTTGTTCTGCAAAGATTAGATCCACATTATATCATGCAAAATTGTTAAAAATCAATAATATATATTAAAAATAATAACAAGAGATTATCAAGTATTTATAAATATATTAGATGTAAAAAAAATGTTAAATAAGCTAATAAAATGTTAAGTAATCCGTAATTATTTCAAAAACACTTCTGTAGAATGCGCTCAACGTAAATGTCCTAAATGTCTGAAGTTTTTTTATTTCCCTAACAAAATTATTTCCACATAGTAATTTCCGCTCATCTTTCTTTCAAGCGATTTTTAACGTTCTCAGCGAAATGTTCGCGATAAACGGCTCATTGCAATTCCAATGAGTACAGTTGCGATTGCATGTGATGCACAGCTCGCCGTCAGAATCGATCCGAACGATTAAAGCACCCTGGCGAAGGAAAGAAGCGAACTGAATGAATTAACGACGGCCGTTCGAATAAATAGGGCGTTTAATGAAACGAGTCGCCGCGTAATTGGTCGTCAATTTCGTCTTTAATTGCATATTGATCAATGTTGACCCAAAGATAATGTAGATTCAAAAATTGTGGTTTCATGCAAAATCAAATGATACTAGTAATACAAAATAATTTCAAAATTATTAAGAAAAAAGATGTAACAAATCGGGCAAATAAATATATCGCTCTTAAATTAACGAAATTGTCAAAGAAAATAACGAAGAGAATTACGAAGGAAGCAAATTAATAAAATTGATTCAAGCGTTTCAATATCGGAGCGTCAATAGAATTGAGTAAATATTTAAAGTCTCAGTTACCGAGATATATAATACTGAAAGATCGTAGAAAAGACAGTAGCGAGTTTAATTCTCGTTCAACTGATTCTATAGACATAAAAGAAAAGCCTGGAACGCTTTCTCTCGATCATTTTCATTACTTTGTAAAATAATCGTAGAACAATTAGGATCAGTTGTTGTACGATGTGCATGTTTGTTAGCGTGTAATTTATTCGAATTAAACTTGATTTGATCCTCGCCTTCTATTGACAGACTTTTAATTTGCTTCTTGCAGTTGACGTAATGCGAATGTGTACGTGGCACAAAGAGTTAATTGTGCCCTACGGCGTACAAAGGAAGAGCATCGCATAACCATCGAGTGCAACGAGCGGCTTCATACCGGGAATCCTAACGAACGAGTTGCGTTTGCTATGTAAATTGAATGCGACGCGCGCGCGAAAGTCTACGGCGCGGCAAGAAGAGAATTAACTCTCAAGTTGAATAACGAGTGAAATAACACAGCTATTTTCCTAGTGTTTGTATATGTCCGTCTAAATTTTTCATCGTAATCACAGCCATTCTCACCATAATTCAGTAAAATTGTACAATTATAAGATTTGCAAACTCGATCGTGTTATAATCTGAATTAATAATGGTAACATGTGCTCAATGTGCTCTTGATTATACACTGATAATGTTGCAATATTGACATATTTATATGTATAAAACACAAAATTGATTTTAAATTGAATACAAATCATTATTCTTTCATTACTTAGTAATTTGTATAAATTTTAAACACATTAATAATAACCATAATTTTATTTTATAAATTTAAAAATTTATATAGCGACAAAATTTTCAAGTCTTTTATATCCATTTGTTTTGAAAAGATCTATTTAATTTGAAACAAAAAATTTTATACAAAAAAATTTATTTTTTCGTCAAAAATAAGCAAGATTTTAATGAAAATATTGAGATAAAAAAACATTAAAAAGTTTTTTGGAGTGCATTTTTCCGCATTTATGTAAATTTCTTTGAGCAAAATCGTAAACCAGTGAAGAAAATCGCGGAAGTATTCCGCAAGTGTCTTTGTGCGCAGTAAAAACACATCGGCGGAAAGTGAACTGAAAAGGGTACTTGGCTTCAGCCGATAAACAGAAAGGGAAGTAGTTTTCAAATTCAAGTAGGTCGTTATAAAATAATGAGGGGGCGATAAAAGTGCATGTACAATAAAATCCAAGGTAACACTCGGTATAACTCGCGCAGCGGTGCATTTCAGGTTTTCTTATCTGATATCTTTTCATCTGCACAAAATGTGAATAGAACTCGAGAGTTTAATCCGCATGTTCGCCGAGTCTCAAAAATTCCAAACTCTTATCGCACTAAACGTGTGAACTTTGCTATGATTAGTCGAGACGAAATAAAAAATATCTTTGAATCTCAAAATATAGAATTTAAATATAATTTCAAGAAATGTGTAAAGTTAAAAACACAATTTAAAAATATAGCTGTTTACTATTATTATGTTATAGTTATGTTAGAAGGTAAAAATTGACACATATGAAATGTAGTTAAGAGACTGAATAGAAAGTTAAATAGAAAAAGAGTTATAGAATTATATATCCAACGGAATCTGCGAGAACGTAATCGTTTGCATCTCGACAAGAGCAGCGACATTCGCGAAATCCATTCACGCGTTCAACGTCGATGGAGTGGCAGATCGATAGAACGTCTCGATGACGACAGAGGCTCCTTTGGCAAGCCGATTTCACGCGGATCACCGGATTCCTTTCAACGAATTCGTGCTACGCGACGTCTTTTTGAAGGCGCGCGAGGTCTTATCTAGGTCTGATAAGAAGGAAAACGGTGCCGCGCGAGAGTGGCTCTTGATCCTTACGGATGAGTGACTATGATTGATAGTTGAGCTCCGTCGTCGTTACCGGTCACGAAGTTTCGGCAGTGTCATCCGTTCTCGAAAAAGTCGACAAAATTGCCTGCTCGCCGTCTTTGTCGTCAGATTTTTCCTTCTTTCTCTCTTTCTCGAATTCGCTCTTTGTAACTTTCGTATCAAAGAAAGCTACATTTTCACGCGTTTCGCAAGGACCTGCCGATATCCGGCTGTGCTTTCTACGAAGCTGCCTCTCGAACAGTCTATTTTCCGCTTTTCTATCGCGGTGGACACACGTTGCATAACAACATCTCGAATAGCACGAATAGAATTCGAAAGAAATAGCAAAATGTCTCTACTTTTAGAAAAAAATCTTCTTTTATTTCATTTCATTAAAAAATTTTGTTTATAAATTTTTTCTGTACTTTCAATTTTTGGAATCCTGCTTGATATGAATACAACAAAATTTGTCAAAGTAGTAAGAATAATTCCAAATATACTTTTTGCATAAATATATTTGAAACGTTAAAACCTATAATAATAAATAATGAATTTTTGTTTGTGTAAATATGCTCATATATTTTGTAATCTGTAATTTAAACTTGTAGAAAGAATAATGCGTAAAATATTAAAAAAAATACATATACACACAGGTCGAAAACTGCTAAAATTTTTGCATAATTTTTATCAATTTTATACTTTTTAGTTGAACTAAATTAGAGGCTGAATAATAAGTTAAATTTCGAATAAAAACACAATCAAAGATAGAAATCAAATATACTACTTGCCACTAATCGCAGATCCATTAGTGGCATTTCGTATATGCGAAATAGGTCGATTGTAAATAGTTACCTTGAAAAGCCGCAAGATATTGGCGACCATAATGGAGACTACGCTGAACGCAGCACCTATTACGCCAGTTACCGGTTTGTGAGGAACGTAAGTGGGCGTCTTGCCGTTCTCGCACTTGTATTCCGATATATCCTGAAACAAAGAAAAAATTCCAAGATGCATTTTCGTTTTCACGTAACGGTATAATAGAAAATATATTTCTTTTTATCAAAAACGTTATTTAAAAACGCTCTTGAAAGGGTTGGATGGAATATCCACTAAAATTTCCACAATAGTGGTACATTTGGGTTTCTCTGGCGCCCTTAGGCGCTCTATTTGCAAACCACATTCACCCAGGCCGATCCTGAAAACTCAGCACCCACCATACTTTTTCGACCAGGAATGGGTCGAGAGTATCCGCAAATAATACCGAAATCTCCGGGACATTTATATTTCATATTCGCTCAAAAAAACAAATTAAAAATGTTTTTAAAATTACGAAATTTTTTGCAAAATAGTATGGAAATATAATTAGAAATAAGAATAATAGCAGAATGTAAAGTTGAAATAAAACGACTGGATAATTATTTTAAACTTCGTCACATTTTTGCACGCTTTATGAAAAACGCGCTGCTACATTTCCATACGTTTTCCATTCTGTTTCTTCTCTATTCGACGAAGCATATAATTGCTGCGTATAACTGCTCCGACAGATGAAATTCGGTGGCAAAGTTGTCATGGAGTTCGTTTCGTCGTGCGCAACTCGGTCACGCTCGTTAGATCCTTTCTATGTGTTATACCGACCTACAGTTTGCAATTAAGGAATCCTATGTAATTTGGAATCGGTGCGAAAGTGTACTTGCTATTACTATGCGGAGAATCATGCGATTGTATTTCCGCTCGGGGCGGGTAGTTGATAAACAAAACAATTACAGACCATCCGCTAATAGAATTAATCCCTTGCATCCAGCTTTCCCGGAGTTTAAGCCATCAAAGCAATAAAAAAATAACTATATTAATTGGAAAATCATATACGGTTTTTAACGTTTGTAATCTCGTGCATTCTATGAAAATATTTATTTTTCACACAATTTTTCACACAATAAACAACGTTGAAAATAAAGCTGTAGTACTAGTGTAATACATAATAAATTGTAATAGTTTTATATTTAATATCATTTATAAATATATTTCTTTGAAATTATATATATTAATTACATACAAATGTACATTTATTTAATTTATCACAAACTGTCGTTTAAAAGATAAACAGGAGCGGCTTGCGCTGTTTATGAATTTATGCAAACTTATAAGTTTCTCACATTTGCTGTATAAATACTTAGTTAATTCAATTATGTAACATTATAAGAAAATTATTATTCAAACATTTAGAAGATAAATAAAAGGAGCTTAGAATGCTTTATTTATGCAAATTACTCATATTTACTGCATAAATATTTAATCATCTGTAATTAATTAAAGATTTAAGATAAATATTTAACGCAGTTCATTTGATAGAAGAAATAACTCGCATTCATTGTAGCGGTAACTTTATATATGATTACAAAGTACAACATAAACCTAACAGAACTAAATTGCCTCTGTTATTTAACGCGCAGTTTGTACAGCGTGCTGTAGCAGCAAGCATTCGCCCACTATAATGTTTTCGAAACCAATTAAATTTTGCTAGAAGTAGATTTTGGACAAACGAATACGCGGTCGATTCCGTGTGTTCAGCGTCGACAAGAGTTTCCGTTCTCTTTACAGAGAGTGTATTTCAACCCGTCGCGATCTTATCGTTAATCCCTTAAATATCGCGGAATATCCCGTTATTTAGCGCAAACCGCGACAAAATATATTGTGCTGCTTAATTTTTAAGCCGCCCGAGAATTATTTTCACAAAGCTGCAATTCAAGGATTTTGCCGCAAGAAAGAGATAAGGGATTATTTTGATACATTTCTTACGGGAGATAAAAAATTGATCTCCAAACTTTTCGCTTTTCATTCTTTTTTTTCCAAATATAAACAGCCAATTGTTTATGTCTTTTATATTTTTCAATATTCTATAGATAAGGCGAAAATTCGTATTAGCCATTTATTTTTAGTCTATCCATTTGTAGTCTATTACTGTTTAAAGCTTTTAAATTTTTTGTAGAACTTGGTAAATTCCGCAGTCAGCGGAATTGCACATGTAATCAATCGCAAATAAACCGAAATTCACGTTCGAAAATAAAGTTTTATGCGGCAATTAAACTTGATTGATTTTCAAATTTGTATTCGAACGATTTATATTCATAACTGTATTCACGATTTTCTCTCTCTCTCTCTCTCTCTCATTCACTCACTTACGAACTCAACCAAGTTCGTCGTTACGAGATTTTATCGTGCATTCAACGCACTTGTGAAAACGTCTGCTAGCGGAAAGCTGGCGAAAGACCGAAGATACTATTCCTTGACATGCCCAGATGATTTAAATATGGTGAAGCAAACGTCACATAGCGCGCGCGTTGTGTATTTCTATGAGAATGTGCCTCGAACGACTGCATAAATCTTGAATGCAACGCGCTGCCACTTCAGGTTATTTAAATATCGCACTCTGCTATTTAAATATCGCGTCTCTCCGGTAGACTGATAACATATTAATGCGATTTTTTCGCGGATAACTTGTCGTATGTACACTTTATCATAACGGAAACGTTAAGTAGCGTAAAATGTGCTGCCATAGACAAGGAAAAAAAAAGATAATATATTTATGAATGTATTACGTTGAAAATATTCCATTACGTATTATGAATAAATACATATTTTGTCATACACGTATTATCGATTATTTATGCAACAGAACAATAATGATCGTAACATCGTTAAAAAGATATTCCCACCGGTCAATAAATCTTCGCTCACATCACGGCAAGAAAATAATGTGCAAAATAATATAAATTTTATTATTAAAAATATTATCATGAACATAGGACGTAATAATCATTTTGTGTAAATTTTTCAGTAAATAAATTGACGCATATTATAAACTGAAATTCAAATATTTAGAATCCCCTTTTAAACATTATAATTATTTCCTCATTATAACTCATATGAAATTTATATCAAAATGCGTAAAATTTATACGTCTAATGGTTAAAAAATAAATAAAAATACATGTAGATTTCATATATATTAAAATATAATTTATACCTGTTAAAACACAAATTAAAGTGTCACACGTTCAACTATAAAAGCATTAATCATCCATATTAAATAGTTTCAATACCAATAAAAGGATCTCATAAGGCCTTTATTACTTTCGTCGATATCACGAAGTACCTATCAATTCTTAGGTATATAATTTACGATTAATCATTGTCCATTATCCGAGTCATTCGAGTATTAGTTATATCCGACATGATGAACGAATTGTAAGATACAGAAAGCAATCAGTCGGTGAGATGTGATGGCTCTTGAATTATGGCACCGTTCCAAAGTGTTCGGCATCTTGAGTGAGTTTTGAAAGAGATTGAAAGCCAGAAAAAGAGATTCGTACCTTTGGATCTATAGTTCTTCATCCAAGGCGTTCTTCTGGCGAGATAATCACTCTTGCTCGAACGCGAAAAATAAATCCCAACACCGGATTTGAACATGCATTATTCACGCTGAGAAAGATGCATCCGGTCCAGAGGTGAAAAATAGAAAAGAAATAGAATTCGACCGATCGATGGCCATAAATTAAACGCACTCCGTAATACCGGTACATATTTCCAATATGTTTCGAATTCCATCGGAACACTCTTTGCATTAAAAGTATGCGCTTTTAATCATGTTGCAAAAATGAAGAAATAATCCTCTTTTCTTTTCAAAGAAAAAATACGGTCATATTTTGAGTCGTAAAAATAATTTTCAGTTTAATTACAAAATTATCTTAATAAATATTAAAAATATATAAACGTGTTACAAAATTTTCATATAACTTTTTTAACTTTAAAATATGTATCTCACGTTTTATACGAGTTACAAATATGATACACGGTGTGTTTAAATAAATATATGTTTAAACAGAGAACGTGACTGGCATTTCTTTATTAAATTTATTTCAATAAATTTGCAAAAATATACGACAAGTAAAAATGTAATATACAACCATATCAGTAAATCATCTAGTTATTATCATCACTTGTCATTTCCGCAACATGCCATCTATTATAATATGGAGATACGTCATTATAGACACGTTATTATAGAGAAAATAATGACTTACTGATGTGGTTATGTATTATATTTTTATCTGCAGTATATAATTTTTTAGATTTATTGAAGTAAATTTGTTATAAAATATTCCAATTACGTTCTTCTCAAACATATTGTACGTTCTAAATATAGCATACGATAAATTAGAAACACAGGCGACAGAATTATCCAATTTTTAGTGAAATGCAAACGATATTATTCGTGTCAAGAGTAACTTTCACTTTCAGAAGTCGTAATGTATGAATAAAAGAGAAAAATCACACAATGTAGATTGGTTTAAAGCGGCGTGTAATAGCGATAATACGGGGTCGACAAATATTGTACACGCAAAAGAAAATTTTTATAATAATCTGCGACTCCCATTGCTCCTTCATGATTTATGATTCTCACGTGATAACTGTTCCCAGGAGCGCAATCGTAACAGGGAAGCGAAGGCAATTGCTTGTCAGGAAGCGCGGAAAATAAATGGCTTCAAGCGAGTGTCGCGTCGTGCGAAATCAAAAGGTAGGACTTTTGGCGATCGCGGAGGTGATTCTTCAAGACCGTGCAATGTGTCGCTCGGTCGAGATAATGCAATCCAATTTTGCGGTCTATGAGAAACGACAGAAAGTTATTGCATCCGGCGAGTTTCCCTCTATTACTTGCATAATTAAGAGAATAATTAAAACTTGTAATGCGATAAAGCATAATTAAACGTGATAAAGGATGTTATCCACGCCTTCTGGTAAATTAATGTAAGATGAGCTTAAATTTGCAAAGCAGAGACACAGTTTAGACAAGGTTTATGTTAATGCATTAAATTCATATAAAATGTTTCGTATACATTTTCAGTCGAAATTTAGAAGCAAGATTTAAATAGCGTGGCACTTAATAGTGGCATGCTAAAGTCTCAAAAGCAATTATCAAGCTTAAAA